TCCCCCTGAGTCACAAATTCACCTCGGTCCTGCCCATTCGTCCCTTGGGGATACATTACAGATTCTTCTCCCCCCCACCCCATATTATTCTCCTTTCTGTCTTCCTTCCTGTGCACTATACTGAGGGGTCTGCTGTCTGTTCCAATCACCCTCCTCCCGCACATGCTCAAAGCATTCTTTGCTGTCATCTCATTGGGAGCGCTCCGTTATTCAGTCCGTTGTTGGTGGGCGTCACCTTCCTTCACCCCCAACTCCTGATCGTCACCTTTCTCAAGGCTCTTCTGCCTTGATCGTAGCTGTTGTTTAGTTACCAGACCTCGTGTCAAATGCACTGGAGGGGGGTGTCTTCTTTCATTTAGCCATGACCGAGTCACCATTGCATGTCTAACAATCCCATTGGGGGGAGGGGGTAGCTCATCTTCATCACCTTCCTCCAACTCCACTGTATCCCATCTACTCCTCGATCTCTCTGGTCCCAGGCTGTTATTCTGCGTACCAACTTTCCATTCCGAGGAGGGCTTGATTTCAACGGGTTGTGGCTGGTCCTGCGGGGGTTGTATGTTGGGGCTGATCTGTTGTTGGTCCAACGGCAATTGCCTTTCTAGTAAGTGGGGAGTACCATCCAAGAGTCCGCTAACGTGGTGGGACAGGGAGGGATTCCGAGTGGCATCCTTATTCTGGTCATACCGTTTGTAAGGAAGCTCCCTTTGGGCGTTAGTATGGTTGCCCACGCTCCATATTCTTAAGGCTTGATGTGCTGCACATAGATCCACGTGCCGGTTGATGGAATCAACTCCTGAATACCATACTTCCTTCAGCAGGTGGCCTCCCTTTGTAGCATCACTGGCCATGACTTGGGTGTTCTCAAAATCAAAACGGTGGTCGTACTCGGCCTTGTGAGCCCAAATCTGCAAGTATTGTTCGCCTCGTCTGATTGCCAATTTATGTTTGTGTAGGCGTGTTTTTAACCTCTTCGATGTCTCGCCTACATAATTACTCTGGCAATCCATACAATTGATCTTGTAGATTACTGTTGATCTCTCGGTGGTAGGGAGTTGATCCTTAGGGCGCATCACTTTTTCCCGCAGAGTCTGATTGGGCTTATGAGCCACCTTAATATTATGTGGTGCCAGCAACCTGGCCATGGCCTCAGACACATTACTAATATATGGTAAGGACACCCGTGTGGCCCGTGTCGAGGGTTCTTCATCCCGTTGTCTGTTTCGGGGTTCTGGTATCATACTATGCCGTTTGATGAATCTTGGGGGGTATCTATTCATCTGGCAAACATGGAATAGATGTTTCCTCTCCTCTGCCTTTGACTCAGCCATGCTGCAGTGCGAGTGCACCCGTTTGAACAGGGTCCTAATACAGCTGGCTTTATGGGGGGGCGGATGGTTGCTATAATAGTGGAGGATTCGATCTGTATGGGTGGGCTTCCAATAGACCTTGGTGTTCAAAGCTCCATCCATTGAGCACTGGACTAAAACATCCAGAAAGGCTATCGAGCCCTGGATCTCCTCCTCCACCGTGAACTTAATGTCCGGATATATAGAATTCAACACCCCCATAAAGCCGGCCTGATGACATTGTTTGATGACCACAAACATGTCATCAACATACCGTGCCCAAAATTTGGGCCGGTAGATGGTCATGGCCTCCCGTTCTAGTTGTTGGAGGACCGCTTCTGCTACCACGCTAAATATTGGGGAGCCCATGGGTGTGCCCTTTACTTGTTCATATATGACACCCTGAAAAGTAAAATATGTAGTTAGGCACAACTCTATAAGTTGTACTAAATCCTTGGTTTGCAGGGAATCTCGGTGGCCAGCTCCTCCCTGTTTTTCTAGCTGGTCTTTCAGGACTTTAACTGCTAGATCTTGGGGGATGGAAGTAAAGAGTGAGGTGATGTCAAAGGAGACCATCACCTCATCCTCCTCCACCCTAAGGGTCTTGATCCTTTCCAAGAATTCCTCTGCTGATCTAACTGTGGTAGGGCTGCCATTCATATATCCATATATATATATACTCTATTCCATTCAATAACTCTATTCCATTCCCGCCTACCAGCCATTTGGAAACCCGCCCTTATTGACAAACGACTCCCTAACACAAAAAATGATACGAGACCCACACTCACAAAAACCACACAGGATGTCACCTCCACACATCCACACAAAAAACAAACCCAAAGCCACACCGATGACGAGGCACGACCACAAACCAGAAGCCATACCACAGCTGCATCATTAGCCACTTTAAACCCCTCCAATCCATACATGAAGCAAACTGACACCCTCCATGAAGAGGAGGCACGACCACGAATGCGAAGCCAGAAAATAGCAAGGCAGCCCAAAATCTTAAACCCCTCTGCAACTCAGACTAACCTGAGCACAACCAAACAGAACACTCCCCCAGCCAATCAGAGCACAGCCAAGCCCCTAACCATTCAGAACACACCTCCACCCAATCAGAACACAGCCAAGCTCCCACCCAATCAGTTCATACCCCCACTGGCAGTTAAAAGGAATAAACAGCTAAGACCACACATTGCTGCTCGAAGCACGAAGCTGAAAACACCAGCCTGAAGATGACGAATGGGACTTCGTCGAAACGTCGCCAAGACACTTCCAATTTTACGCGGGAGAAAACCCGAACAACCAAAGACCTACATATATATATATATATATATATATATATATATATATATCTGCGAAAACCTCAGAAAACATATATATATATATATATATATATATATATATATATATATATATATAGATAGATAGATAGATAGATAGATAGATAGAGAGAGAGAGAGAGAGAGAGAGAGAGAGAAATAAAATGAACACCAGGGTAGTAAAACTATAAAAGTTTAATTAAAAAGCGCCAAGCTTTCGCCGTCCCTGCCGGCATCATCAGGGCTAGAGCGCCAGAAAGTGTGAGAGTTTTTTATAGGAAAGTCAGAGTCTGCGCCTGGCTCCTCGATCTCGTCACCGGGCCTAATTGATTCAACTGCGCTTGATTGGTTTGTTTCTTCCTATTCCTCTTAGTTACGTGTGTGTTGTCGTCTCTCCTCCTTTCTTTCGATTCTGGGATGGGTGGGATAACTCCCCTACCGTTCAAATTATCTCTGTTCTTCAACCCATCCTCCCCATCAGGTTTGAGTGGTAATGTACACTTCCCCTTCCTTTCCCAATCATCATCCGCTCGGCTGTTCTTTTTGCAATAGCCTTCTCTTTTAACTCCATCCTTCTTTCTCTTGGTCTTAAGGTGGGTGGGTGAATGTCTCTCTTAGAATAATGGGACGAAGGAGGGTTATAAAACAAACATGAAAGGTGTATTACTATCCGAACCCGGGGAGGAAAGATTAAAACGTAGGGACCACCATAATAAGAGAGACATTCACCCACCCACCTTAAGACCAAGAGAAAGAAGGATGGATGATGATAAACACGCAATTGAAATCAATAGGAAAGAACAAACCATTTGTGCGCAGTCATACCAATTGGGCCCGATGACGAGGCTGAGGAGTCGTGCGCAGACTTTGACACACCTTTAAAAGCGATTCTCACTCCCTGGCGCACTAGCCCTGAGGATGCCGGCAGGTGACGGCGAAAGCTAGGCGCTTTTTTAATAAATTTTATACTTTTGTTATCCTGGTGATCATTTTATTTTTTGCTATATATATATATATATATATATATATATATATATATATATATATGATAGGTGAAATGTAACTGTCTTATCAGATGCAATTTTTAAAGATAGTATTTGTTTGAATATGGCTAAAATATAACATGGATTACTTAATTAGTAAATATCAAATGGAATAGAGTTAAAAATGAAAAAAAATGGGGATATAAATGAATTTTAGTTTGAGAGAGATATCTTTTTCTTTTTCTTCTTATTCTGAGTAGTATTGTATTTTTTTATTTATGATAGAGAAATATAATTGTTGGGAGGATTATTTTGAGGGAAACAGCTTAGATATTTAACTGTAAATCAACTTTGAGAAAATCTTAACAGATAAAAATGATTTCAATTTTGTGGGGAAAAAGTCTAAATGAGAGGTCAGCATATATTCTCCCCTTATTAGAGAGCTTGCCAGAGAGGGCAGACAATTATTATGAAGGCTTTCTCCTCCAGGACTCAAACCCTTCTATCACGCATGCAGTGGCAAAATACTGTGTTGCAGCAATGTTCACAAGAGAAAAATTGGTTACAGATTTATAGCGATCAACTTGTGCCAATTTTTTGGAGATATCTCTAATAATTTTTGGAACATTATATTTACTCACACACTTATCGGCTTTCCATTCACGTAAACTAGAGAGTGACCCTAACATTTTGAGAACATGTATTTTCTTAACAGGGATGTTATTATTTACTATTAATGTCAGTACTATTTTTTTAATATAGTGTAAAAAGTGACGTCTATTGTTGGTCTATGACTGTAATAAAGTTATTTTATTTAGTCTAAATGAGAATGTTGAAAACAGGACATATAACGCAACCAGAAGGATTAACTAGAAAAGAAGTTCTATATTGATGCTATTACTAATTGGATAAATGTTAGAAAAATGTTTATATTTAACATCTTTGTTACTAAAATACTAAGAACTGTATTAACCTAATGTTTGCAAAAGAGAATAATATGGAAGAAGAGAAAATCAAGGAAAGCTGTTATGTAGAGTATGATATGATAGAAATTGACTATTATTGATTGTTGTGAAATGTGAACCCAAGCAACATACTGTTCACTAAGCACCAGGTTGTTAGTTTTTTAAAAAATAAATAAAATATATACTAAAATATGTTTTAATTTTTCATATCATGAAAACCACCAAAAGTTTATATGAATTGCATATGAATTATTTTAGCTACATGCTATCCTGTTATTAAAATAAAGATCTTCCAGAAACTGATATTTTTTCTCTCTCTTGCAATTGTGAGATGTAAAAACCTCAAATTTTGATACAATACGAAGACAAGTCTGGTTAACAAAACAAAGGTTTATTGGAAAATAACAGAAACAGAATAAAAGAGAAAAGAAAAAGAATAGAAGAGAGGAGCGTTTGCAAACGTGCCCCCTTGGATCCTTCCCTATGGATTGGATTCCAGGAGCACACTGGCCTGGTTTCAAGATCTGCATTTTATACCCCCACAATGCATGTCACATCTAAGCAGCTCTTTCATCTTTATAGATGTACTCTGAAGTTGTACTTTGTTAACCTGACCTCTTCCGTCCATCTGCTGTTATCTTGTTTATTTGTAATTCTCACCTTGGGTCAAAATCTCCCTCTTCGATAGTAAGATTTCTACTCAGTGTAAGTTCCTGTGTCCGGAGGATTTTTAGGCAGGGAATAGTAAACATTTGGTCATATATTGGTATTACATTTGTGTTACAGTGTTACATTTGTACTAAAGAGACAGTTTCATATAATGGCATTACATTTCTACAATTATTAAAAGAATAACTTTTATTTCCTTCAATCCTCCCTTTTTCTTTTCCACCTGAATTTATTCTTTTATACTTTTAACAGTTCATAACTTCCTATATTTTCTTTAGATTCCCGTGCAAGCAAGTTTTCATATTCTGAGTCTTCTTTCTCCAATGTTCCTTAAAGTATTGGGCCCATGGTCCTTCCTTCTACCAAAGAAGGTACTAAGGAAACAACAGTAGCAGAAGAAAAACTTTTCAACACATAGTCCAGATTCTAGGAATACGTCCAATCCATTGACGTTTTTCTCCCACTTAGATGGAAACAATTCAACAGGTGAGGCAGGTTGAAATTTCATTTTTAGGCTGTCCAGCTGCGGAGTTTATCACCGGAGAGGATATGATGGGACTTTCCTTGGACTCACGCCTTGATTCCTTAAATCAGGAGGACTTGGCATGGTTGAGACCACTCAGGACTGGTATTTCTAGGTGACAGTTCTTTTCACCTGAATCCACTCTCCAGGAGCAATGGCCAGAGACAGGTGGTAAGGCAGCCTGGGCCTGTACTGAGATAGAAGACAAAACCTGCACCACATTATGCAGATACTGAGTAACTTTCTTCTCTTCTTCATTGACATTCTTGAACCTTTACGTAACAAAAGCCTCCCATTTCAAAGAAACAAAAACAACTTTCCAGTTGAGGCCTATATTGACATGGTCTCACCACTAAATGTTATAAAGCTTTTTTTTTTAACTTGAATTTTATCACATGTTTTGTTTAACTAAAGTATAAATACAACCATCCTGTTTTAGAAAATATTAATCATCCCTTGCGACTCCCCTTCAGTGGCTGCTTCTGTGTTCTAGCCATTGTTTTATTGTTTTTTTTTCTTTTTTCTTTTCAACATCCCCCTCCCATCTTGCAACATCCACCTCCCATCTTTAGTACATTCTTGTTCCTTCAACATTCTAAGGCTTGTGTAAATGGCATACAATTCACATGTTTGGGCTGACCACGTTAATGGCAGTCTCTCTGCTTAATGCATGCAATTCACAAGTCTGTGCAAACCAACTTAAAACAACTTTCCTGTTTCTTTCTTCTATTATCCATTCCTTCCTTCCCTTCTGCCACTCTAGCATAACTTCTTTTTTTTTCTTCCTCCTGTATTCAAGACTCCATAAACATACTTGGAGTCAGTGTATATTTTTTCCTTCTCCCTTTGTCATTTTTACACATTGCTTAAATGACTCTAATGGTTGGATAGGTTTTAAGAGTATAATAAGAAAACCCCCAACAGACATACCACCTTGTAATGTTCCAATACATCTTCTAAGACTTAATATCATACTCTATCTCACACCCTGTGCACTGAACACAATTAATACAATGGGAGCAGCAACAACACCCACAAAGGTAGCCACAAAATCAGCACATGTGGGAGGTCTTGGTTTTCCTTTGGTTCTAGATAGAAAAAGATATATAAAGTTTAGTCCTTTTTCCTCTATTAACCCCCTTTCTGTCAGGAAGATTGACTATTAGTCCATGAAGTCCTTCGGAACTTTAGCTTCAGTGGATCTCCTTGGTGAGATTCCACCTTCCACTCCTCTGAGGCTGGCACAGGTCCTTTTACTCGGGAGTAATGGTCCAACCCTTTTCAGCTGTCCGGATAGCTGTCTCAGTGGTTAACAAGACGATGTAAAGTCCTTCCCAGGTTGGAGTTAGTTTTTCCTCTCTCCAAGCTTTTATCAACACCCACTGTCCTGCTTTGTATTGGTGTACTACAAAGTCCAAGGAGTTTGGGCAACAATGGCTTTCTGTCACAGGAGAGAAAAACATCTGGACAGTTCAAGTACATATTTTCTAATTATTTTATCTTTTAATTCAATTCTTGGTAATCTCTCCTTCCCCATCTACTATCATATCTTCATTGCGTCTCTCTTTTTCTTGTTCTTTTCTTTTCCCAACTACTTTGCTATGAACAAGTGTATACCTCCTTTAGGCTTCCTGATTAAAATTGTCCACACTTGATAAGAAATGCTAACCACCAAGATATCCCCAAATGTCAATTTTAGATAAAAATGCCACTGGCTGCCTTCCCCCCCCCCACTTCTGGGTCAAAACCTCCTCCAACCTTTGTCCTTGTTTATAAATAAATTACCTAAGCGAAGAGCCAACAAAGGAGAGCTCACCAAACCCTGTTTGCATTTGTTAACATAAGCTCTTTTTCTAACAGTTTTGCATACAAATCTTTAATCAAAACAGCATAGCTATTTATAATCCCAAAATTTTTCTCAACTTCTTTGTTTTAACTTCACAAAAAATAAACAAGTTAATAAGATATTCTGAGTTAATGAAATAGTTTTTTTCCCCCAAACTCTAGTATTGCTTTTAATATAAAGTTAGTCAAATTCCAATTTAATCAAATTCCATTCAGATGGAAACAAATTTCCATTAAATAGGGAAAACATTTATAAATCTAAGCAAAACAATTTAGAATCATTTCTTTTGGTTGATATTAAACAATTTAAACTCAAAAATTTCCAAAAAAAGTTGTCCAACAATTCCTGATCCCTCTTTTGAATAGAAAAAATTGCAAAAGTGGGCATTAAATTTTCCCAGCCACCTCACCTTTCTCAAACCTGAATTCTAAGCAGAGAAAAAGTTAAAAAAATCAACCCCCCCTTCTCCTTTCTCTCTCTCTCCCTCTCAAAGCAACACAGCCAGAAAAAAGCAGGGGGGAAAGGGGGGTTGTGTCTGTAGATAGAGTTTGAAAAGGCATTAACACACTTGCAAAAGGGAGAGAGCAGAATAGGCAAGAAAATGGTATAGGATTTCCTGCCTGAGCAGGTAACTTTGGGCTGTTCTTAAGAGGGAGAAAAAAAATAAGCAAACGAACAAACACATCTTTCTTCACTTTGTTTGTTGGCCAGACAAACAGAGTGAGGATATTTCTTTTGGTATCTTCTTTTCTTTTGAGGTTAGTAACAGTCATATTTACTTCACACACAAAGACTCTGACACACATATACGTACCAAGACAAGGAAAAGAGAACAGAAAACTGATTGGGAAAAAGATCTTCTCACTCACACACAGAGACAAACACACATGTCTCTCATTCCCCTTATTTCCCAAAACTTTCTTTTCTACCCTAGCTCCACATGGGCAGAGCCTGGGAAACCCATTCACAGACACAAGGCATCTGCTGCTAGCAAGATGGGTTTTCCTGTTTGAAGCTACTCAATTTTACAGTTATTTTTTTTTCTTTAGGTTTACAACAATGACTTACAACAACAACCCATCTTCTTAAGAGTTTTCCTGATTATGGTTCCCTGAGGTTCTCGATTTGATGGCCACTCAAAACTCTTAACACCAGTTTGCTTCCCTTCAGGCTGGCCTTCCCCCTTGCGGGAGTAAGGGATCTCAACCTTTCAGGTCCGCACTCCTCTGGACTTACCAGTGTTCCCAGAACACAGCCCATCACACTCATACAGCCGTTATCGCAGAAATCCTCCCACAATCGCTCTCCTGACTACCCAGGTACAATTGCATGCTTCCCTCCTTCGGGGCAAAAGTTTCTTACCTGGGCCAGTGCACTGGGTTACCTGGTCTAGGCTTCAGTGGTTGACTTTCTTCCTATTTCTTGTCCTTTGATTTTTGTAAACCAGAGTTGTCAATTTAGTTTGGCTCGGAGCCTGCAAAGGGAAACTAGATCTCAGATAACTCCAGGCAGTTGAAATCAACAGGCACGCTCCTGATTTTACTGAGAACAGTGTCCTCTAGAAGCTCTTAATGCCCGCATTCTTCACCAAGATTGTGAGATGTAAAAACCCCAAATTTTGATACTCACAATACGAAGACAAGTCTGGTTAACAAAACAAAGGTTTATTGGAGAATAACAGAAACAGAATAAAAGAGAAAAGAAAAAGAATAGAAGAGAGGAGCGTTTGCAAACACGGCCCCCTGGATCCTTCCCTATGGATTGGATTCCAGAAGCACACTGGCCTGGTTTCAAGATCTGCATTTTATACCCCTACAATGCATGTCACATCTAAGCAGCTCTTTCATCTTTATAGATGTACTCTGAAGTTGTACTTTGTTAACCTGACCTCTTCCGTCCATCTGCTGTTATCTTGTTTATTTGTAATTCTCACCTTGGGTCAAAATCCCCCTCTTCGATAGTAGGATTTCTACTCAAAGTGTAAGTTCCTGTGTCCGGAGGATTTTTAGGCAGGGAATAGTAAACATTTGGTCATATATTGGCATTGCATTGGTACATTTGTGTTACAGTGTTACATTTGTACTAAAGAGACAGTTTCATATAATGGCATTACATTTCTACAATTATTAAAAGAATAACTTTTATTTCCTTCACAATGTTATAAATATATACAAAAATTGAACAGTCTCACAAGATGGATCTCCCCACACATTTGATTCACATAAGCACATATCCCTGGACATAATATTTCAAAATGTTTCCTTTCAATACCCTTATACACATGACAGGGGAAAAAAAGGAAATGTTGTAAGTACAAACTTTACCAAGGTGAAAATAAACAGACTCCTTTATTGTAAAGGACTTTTCTCAAAATCACTCATCAAACTGACAAGAAGAAATAGCAATTTATGGCAGAGCATATCTATCTCTGAAACTGTCTTCTTTAAAAAAGCGTTGTAGATATTCTAAGTTCCAGTCAGTAAATTTTTCAAGGAAAAAAATTTGCATGCAAAAATAATTATGGCACAAGTTATGAAGGAAGAATTTACAGGACGTTCTGATCAGCTGACTCCAATCTCTCTCATTCAAAGCAGCAGTAGTTGAAGCCTAAAATCCAGTTATACATCGGGGACCTTGTCCCTTGTTTATTTCTGACATGGGGGAAAAAAAGCAAATTCCCCAAAGCTTACCACTCCTGTCTAATTTTCTGACACACCTTTTATGAGCACCTTGTTTTCCACTTCCACTGTTTAAAAATGGGTAATAAAGTGTTTGTGTGTTTGTGTGTGTATGTGTACATATATATAAAATTTAGAGATTGTTCATCTTTTCTTATCCTTTATAAGCATTTGGTTCTGTTTTAGAGTGAAGAAGTTTTCACAAAGAAAAGATCTCAAATTCAAAGACGTCTCTTTCTTTGTGAATAAAACTTTATTTCAAAGATAATGTAAGAATCTTCTGCTACCAGATACAGCAGTCCTGCAAAATATTTTGGAATGTCTGTTCTTGTTATAGTGTGAAATGACTGAGCTTCTGTTTGACAGCTTGTAAAATGGCATATAACAGAAATAAGTCTTGGGGCTTGAGAGTAGGGCTTCATTTGTGCTAACAGCTGATGTCTGACCTTTGCTTACTGGAATTTGAGTGTAATTGCTCTCCCATAGATATGTTATGGTTGGTATTCCAGTCATTTGTGATTACTGTTTAGGAAGCCAGTAGTAAAGTGAGAACAAATTACTAAATGTGATATTTTTTTTTAAAGTCAGGAGCTAGACTTTAGCCAAGAACAATTTAAAGAGAGAGAATTTTTATCTTTTGCATTATAAGTAGGCAAGGTATGTTGAAACAATTTTAAGAACCTCCTTATGCATTTTACTTTCTTGAAGACCTCTTTAGACCCAGAGTTAGCTTTGTTATTCCAGCATGTTTTGGAGTTTCCACCAAAAGCATAATATATCATATTAGTGTAACATTTGCCCAACCCAAAGCTCTCCAGAAATATCACACTAAAATTCCCATAATGCTCTTTTTTAACATTTTGACAGACAAGTATTTATTTATTTATTTATTTATTTATTTATTTATTTATTTATTTATTTATGAGACTTATATAACGCTTTAAGTGCAAGCACTCTCTAAGCGGTGTACACCAGTAAGCAATGTATATATATATTTACATTGCCCCCAACAATCTGGGTCCTCATTTTACCTACCTCGGAAGGATGGAAGGCTGAGTTAACCTTGAGCCGGCGAGATTTGAACCGCTGACCTGCTGAACACAGCCAGCTAAAGTGGCCTGCAGTACTGCACTCTAACTGCTGCGCCACCTCGGCTCCTAGAATAGTAGAATATTTAATTAATTGTTCACTATTTCCTCCTCACTGTTTTTTATATCAATGTAATTTTTACCCACATTTTGCCAACTGAAGTCAATGATCAGGTAAACAAGAGGAAACCCTGAATAGCAAAATGATACTTGAGATTACAATTTACATACTTTTATTGGCTTGAGTGAAAAGTACCAATCTAATTATTTCAAATACTGGTGCCCATAATTGCTCTTATTTCTACAGTACACGTCCACCTTGACCAAGATGACAGTGTAGAAGAGACATGAAAACAAACCAAATATATATTATAAATCTCAGGACTTAGCTTTTAGTTCCAAAAGATGTTCTGTGTAATTTAATGCTGCAACTTAGCCTGACAGAACACCTTTACTGATTTTTAATATTGTTTTATTTAAAAGATTTATATAGCTGCCCATCTTATGCAATGAAATCCTGAATAGTCACATTATAGGTACTATCTTTAACTATAGGTAAAAGGGACTCTTGCATTATAAAAAGAAATTGCCTGAAGTTGCATATCTCTATAGTGTGGCTGTCATTCAATTTTCTACCTTGTTATTTGGCAGTCAATAGTGCCAGCACAGAAAAAAATTCTTTTTTGCCTAGGTCCTCAACTTGTTATTAATGCTTACAAATCATCTCAATGTCTTTTTAATGAGTTTTTTTCCCCCTGTGGGTTGATGACCGCCTCACATCCAGTCTTCTGAATCATACTTCTTGAGCTGTCAACCACAACTGCTAATATACTGATAATATAAGCTAAGGGAAGACAGTTCTAATTCAGTTAGTATTTCTTTGGCATTTAGAAAACAGCACTTAGTCTCCACACAGTTAAATTGGTGTTGGAATTCCACTAACTGAAACTGGCTTTCTGCACATACAGACTTATTAACCACTAGGCCTGTAGAGATTGTTGGTAGAGGGATTTTGCACATCCATGTTTTCTCCTTTAAAGAACATGTCTCAATGTAACATATCTCTTATTAATTGGACTGAGATTTTCAAGCCTTTCATCATTTTCTTCCCCTCTCAGATCAGCTTTTTTTCCTCATCTGACCTGTGCAGTTCAGATTTTTCTTGACTCACCTTCTCTCCATAATGGAGGAGAACACCAGCTTAGCTGCATATTTAATAGTTTAGCCTTCTTATCCCTATATTATTTTCTAAATATATTTTATATTTATTTTATTCCATCCAAGCACCAGCCTGAAAAGTAGTTTCTCAGAAAAATTATATTAACTTTTTAAATATAATTAAATATAACATTTTTCTGTCTACACTTTATTTATGTTGCATCAAGCTATCTGTTGTCCACATTTTAAACCCTTGTTTTGTTTTAACCTCTTTAAATTCTTTGCCTATTAAATTGATCAGGTAGGAGGGACACTAGGAAGATTCTGCTTTTGGTAAACTCTCAGACTTTTCTGCCTTATTGGACCTGCATTTCCATATTCACTTCTACTCATTATTTAAGGCTCCACTGATGTCATCATTAGCATTTCATTCTTCTACTCTTTTTCCATTCTTCTTTAGTTCTCATGGGGAATTTGCCTCTGTGGTTTTGTGCTTGAAATAAAATAATGGGAACAGCATGAACTGTAGCGCTTCAATTAGGAAATGCCTGGAATAGCAGTGTTTGCTAGAAGTAGAGTCTTGGCCATAAAAAGCTTCCTACAAGTGAAAAATGTAAACCCTTTGGCACCTTTTTGTTAAATAGCATGAAAAGAAATAAAAGGACAGAATATGGATAAGGAAGTTGGAACACTGCTGAAAGACCTGGTTTAAATTACTCTGTATTGGCTGTTCTTAATAACAAGCACAACAATGGTTACTAAGATCTTCCTTGACAACTTTCACTGTTTTGTCTAATGTCTTTCTTTACAGGCACTTTAATTTTATATTCCAAACACTATCATGTGCGGAATATTTGTCTTGAGGCTTTTTGTTGACAAAGATAAATTATTCTGATTAATGATATGCTTATGGATTTATAGTTATATTGTGCTGTTGTGCCATCTGGTTAATGAGAAGAGAATTCTTGTAATATAATTCAGAGATTTTTAGAGTGGATTCATACTAAATAAATTTTGTGTGGTATTTTTTAAAGGATAGCTCAAGCATACAAGGTGATTATTTTCTTAGAAACATATTTAAAAGCCAGTTGAGTTTAAATGTATCAGATAAACTTTTCTGGGAAAAAAAACCTTAAATTGTCACCAAGATTGGTGTTTAATCCCTTACAATTTATTGCTGATTATTGTGAGCTTTATGATTGGATTTGCTAGCCAATCGATAACCTGTTTATAATGTTTCCTAATCTTGCGTATTTCTAATTACAACAGAAGAGAACAATCAAAAATTGCTGGGGCTGAAACTAGAGGTGATAATTCTTAGGTGACAATATATACATCAACTTCACTAACCAGGAAAAAACTCTTAAAGAAAGCAGACTATTCATCTTCAATCCATCACAAATCAAGCTTTTAAAAACCATGCTATTCAGA